CCTATTACCATCACCTACCACACACTTACCATCACCTACCACACACTCACCTACTACACTCACCTACCACCACCACGGAATATTTAACGGTACACTTCAGTTCATAAACCATATAGGGGTTGTATGATAATTTTCAAATCTTAAAGGGGTAAACCGCACATGATCCAAACTATAAGGCGATAAAATAAAGTTTGTCCAAAATATAAAACAAATGTGCTCACCCTTACTACTGTCTCACTACCCAAAAACCTTTGAATAATTCTGCACACCAATAATCTTACTAAATGATCAAATATGATTGGTTGTCAAAATATATATACATATATATATATATATATATATATTTAAACCTCCAATGATATTTAGACATATGCTTTTAGTAAGATTTAAAGTTCACACATTTTCTCAATATACACCATTTACTTGGTTTACATCACATTTAATTTAAATTTTTTTGATGTTTTATATGCTCATACCATAAATTTTCAAATAAGACCAAATACTTTCATCTTCTCAAATCAAACATTAACCTTAATCATTACCTTATTTGTTGTCACCAACTCTTCCCCACAACTCTTTCCTGTATGCCCTCCTTCCAACTTCTCTCCTTGTATCGTAGTCCCTTTTCTATCTTGTTGCTACTCCATCCTTACTCAATTTCCTTTCTGTTACCCACTTTTCCAGCCCCCTTCTTCCCCACGCAACCGCCCTCTAACTCCATTGTCATTTGAAAAATAAAAAGATCACAACTATGCTATCACAAAAAGATTAAGGAAGAACTCTGCTGGGAAGAAACAATAGGTTGGCAAAGGGTGATAGGGCTGGAAGGAGGAAGAAAGTGGTGGTTGTGATGGCTAGTGGTGTGTACCGAGATGTCTGGCGGCATATGTATTTCTTTTTTAGATAGGTCTGGTGGGAGAAATTTTTGTATGCGTATAAGGTATATGTCATATGATAGTTTTTACTATTGTGATTGACTTTGGCTTTGACAGTACATTTATATTGAGTGTTTGGGGGACAATAATAGACATATATATTTATGATTAGTAAAAAATAGTACCACGTGATACTCTATTGACATATAAAAATTTCCTTTTGGTGATATGTATTGAGAGATTAAATTTTAGAATTTTGTCTAGAAGTTGATTTGTTGGATAGATAAAATTGTAATTAAAAAAAATTGTGCGTACTGAAAGAATATGTAGGATTACTCCGTTGCTTTTTTAGTCTACAAAATATATGATTTATATCATTTTGATTATTAATTATTAAATTGTGTCAATTTAAAATCATTTTGATTATTAATTATTAAATTGTGTCAATTTAATTCTTAATATATAAAAAATATTTTGATATGTCCCAATCTAATTAATTTTAAATGCATTATATTTAAGTATACACATTAATTACCATCTAAAAAGTACCCGATCAAGACTTTTAAGATGCTAAATTTATTAATTTTTAATAAAAATAAATTATTAATTAAACCTTAATTAATGTTATATATATGAATACTCAGTAGTATTAGGTAAATTATACCCGTAGTTCTTATATTTTGCGCTTTGTATTATTTTGATCCTTACACTTTCAATTGATTCAATTTTAACTAATACTTTTGTATCAATTTGGTACAATTGATAACACCGTTAATATTTTTAACAGAAAATGATCACTAATTTAGTTGAGGTTAAACTCATTAAGTTGAATAAGTTATAATTTTATCTCTAAAAGCATGACAATTGCCACTTATGTATGTATTTTTCATTTAAAAATGTTAACAATTATAGGCGGTGTTTGGGAAGGAAATTTTTTGGCTTTTTTTTTTGTTTTTTTTTTTTCTAAAAGACAAATTAGTTAAAAAACTAAAAAAAACAAATTCAAACAAAATATCACATCAAACCCCATAAATATTTCACTTTTTTTCTCACAAACATCACATTGAACCACAAAAAAAACCCAACTATCTTCCTAAACACAAAAAAAAATTTCTCCAATAATATCCTACAACTAAAAAAACTTACAAAAAAAATCACTTCCCAAACACCCACATAATCAATTAAACTAAATTGAGACAAAATCATAAATTTCGAGTCAAATTAAGCCAATTAAAATTCTAGAAACTAAAATAACACAATGATCAAAATACAGAGACTACAGACATAATTTGCTCTACATAATTTTTTTATTTTATTTTTAGGGTGAATAAAAAGTTGTCAGCAGTTAAATTAAATAAAGTATAAATTATAGTTATTTCTGAAATTATGATTCATTTACACTTTAAGTATTTGGATTTTAAAACTCAACAATTAATCATTTCTAAATATTATCTTGTTACATTTAACACATTCCGTTGTAATTATGTTAGGGATTTTTATTTTTATTTTTAAAAAAATCAAGTCATGTGTGAAGTCATTGATTTTTTATCACAATAATATATATTTTTATGATCTAATTTGCATTTTTCCTTATTTATTTTAGTGATGAAATGCAAACATAATTAGCAGATAAAGACATTATTATCATAAAAATTTGATTAGTGTTTTATGTGTTCCACACATAATTTAATTTTGTATAAATTTCTTAGAGAATCCAAACAAAAATAGTTAAATATGACAAAATAATACTTTAAAATAGTTAATTGTCAAGTTTTAAAATTAGATTTTTTTTTTAAAGTCTCCGATATTAAGATTTTAAAAGATAAAGGATATGCAATATTTTCATAATGATTGGGGTCCTTTAACATTTTTCTAAAAAAAATTTGATCTAGAGAAATTTCAAAATACAGAAAAATTTGTTTGAAATTTCTCTAATTTTCTCTGTGTTTTCAAACTAGATAAAATTCAAACTAAAGAAATTTTGAAATACAAAGAAATTTCTCTGATTTTCTCTGTATTTTCAAACCAGGAAAAATTCAAACCAGATAAATTTCAAATAAATTTTCTTATATTTTGAAATTTCTTTGATTTGAATTTCATATAGTTTGCTCACAATTTCTCTGATTTGCATCTTTATAAGCATGTTAAGATTCAAACTTTCAATCTTTCGAACAAAACAGAGTTAAGAATGGCATCAGAATTTGCAAATGTACAACTATAAAATTTTATTGATTAAGTCCAAATGTCATGCTTTCTCTCTATATTCTTAGAAACCAAAATTAACATTCAATAAATCTGACAATTAAACACAAAATCTAGATTTTTACACTTGAGAGAGAGAGAGAGAGTCTGTTCTTTACTGTCATGAGTAAATCCAAAGGAAAAAAAAAAAAAGAAAAAAGAAAAGAAAAGAAAGATTGTTATGATCAACATTTAGATAAAAACTTGAAATATATTGCGCATATATAACATGTATGTAGAGTGAAGGTCGTACAAAACTTTGAATACCATGGAAGCTTGAGTTATTACCATTCAAACCTTCACAAACTTCAACTCTCTATTTTCGTCATACAAATCACAATAATGTAATGTTGTCCGGATATTTTGCAATCTACAAGTTGCCCTGAGTGTGTTCTTCATCACCATCACTCGTCTTTCTCTCTCTCCTTACAGCCTCTGTCGCCCCATTTCGACTTCTACCGTCGCCAATAGTAGCACCACAGTGGCGAGATCGTCGGCGGCGGTGTGATGTGGTTCAAATCTGTTAAATGACGAAAAGATCTGGCTGACGGAATGGATCTGTTTGGCGGTGATGAAGTTGTCCAAGAGGCGCTTCTCCCATTGTTTGGATATATTGATATGGATGTATAATGTGTAGGTGTGTGTATGTAATCAATATGTAAGGGATCTAAACTGATAAGACCTCTTCTACTATTAAAAGTTGATTAGGAGTATTTTATTAATTTTTTCATTAAAATTCAGAGAAAAAAATAGGATAAATTACACCAACAGTCCTTATAGTTTAGGATTTGTGTCACTTTAATTTTTGACTTTTCAATTGTGACACATTTGACGTTAAATTTTGAATCTTGTTCTAAATAAGGACAATTAACATACCATTAATTAATTTCAAGAACAAAATTACCAATTTGATAAAAATTATGGGGGATGCACCAATAAATCCCAAATTAATAACTTATGCACTGTTTAGTCCTAAAAATTTTCTTATAGACTGAAAGGTCCCATTACAATGTTAATAACATCAGATACAATGTTAATAACATCAGAGTCATGTTACAAACATTGGATTTCAAACATCTAATGTTCATCAAATTTCAATAATGTTTGAAAATATAAGATGAAAAACATCTAATGTTCATCAGATTTCAATAAATTTTGAAATTATAGAATAAAACATCAGATCATTTACATCATTCACATCATGTTGATGTAAAAATGGGACTAAATGGAGCATAAGAAAACTTTTAGGACTAAATGGTTCAACGTTTCAAAAACTAGGACTTATGGGTAAATTTTCCAAAAATTATTTCTACTTACCAAAAATAAAGTTGTGTAAAATTGAAAAAAATTAATAAAAATTACATGATTAATTTTTAAAAATTAATTTTGTATGATCATCATCCAAATACATAATAAAAATTAATTTAGTAAAAAAAAGAAATAAATGTCTAAAAGATTTATCAATTTTATATAATTTTATCTTTAGTTGGTAGAAATAATTTTTAAAAATTCAAAAATAATTTTTTAATATTTATTTTTGTTAAATTAATTTATATTTTATCAAATTGACAATTTTGCCCTTGAAAAATCTAAAAGTATCTTCAATTGTCCTTATGTGGAACAAGATTTAAAATTCAGGGTCAAATGTGTCACCATTGAAAAGTCAGGGACCAAAATGACACAAGCCCCAAACTATAGGGACCGTTAGTGTAATTCACCGACCACGCCGAATAAACAAATGTTAATCGAATGTTTGGGGGGCATTGTGGTATATATATAAATAAATTATTATTTATGAGAGTTTCCTATAATTTATAAAATAAAATACACAAAAATTCGCTTGACTGTCGCAAGCAATTACTCTCATCATAATTTCTCTACCTTGGGACCTTTGACTTCAACCTCACACATCCCTCCCTCCCTCTCCAAAAGTTCACTCTCTGTTTAATCTGAGAATCCAATCACAGAGTTGGGTTCTTCTTCGTAGAGTTTTGCATACTAGAAGCTTCAAAGAACAACCCAATTTACAAGGTTAGTCTTCCTCGTATGAATCAAGTAATTTACACACCATACAAGACTAGCTGTAATCTTGAATCTGAAGTCACCATACTTTTTCTCCCCCTGTTCTTTACCTATCTTTTCTCAGTTTTCTGTGATTGAACTTTACTAGTTTCATGTTCATGTCTGATGCGCAAGTACCAAAATCTGCAAATTTCCATACCCATTTTGTGTTAAAAGCATATGGTTCTTCAAGTTTTGTAATTTTGGTTGGTGGGTAGCTGAGAGATCTTGAAAAAAGTGACTAGGGTTTTGGAATTTGCAATTATGAAGATTATATACCTGGTTGGAATTTGGTTGTTGGGTTGTTTATATTCTTGTGCCTTAGCTTCACAAGATCGTATTCTATACGCAGATGGGGATTTTGGAACTGGAAATCAACATACTACTGTAACATATAAGTATGATCGAATAGATGAGGTGAAGAAACAGTGTGCCTCTGTTCTAAACTCCGCTTCTGAATTGAAACCCGATGATAATAGAATGTATGGCATTAAAGAAGAGCTCTCTTTTATGAATGGAGATTGGTGGCAGGATGTCAATAAGGCACCATTAATGCCCTTTGATGACAGAGATGTTTCGAAGAGCTCTTCGGATCTCCGATCCCAATTGAACTTAGTATCATTTTGGGTTACAGATGTTGACCGCGTTCATCATTCTAAGAAATTTGTGAGTATTAGTGGGATTATGCAACTTGGGATAACACTAGATGGCTTATTTATAGAAAAACCTCGTGAGGGTAGTCATCGTTTTGACATATGGCCCAGTCATTCTCAGCTCTCGGTTTCTTTCCAAGGAATTTACACTGAATCGAAAGAAAATGGTGGGGATAGAGTGATGTGTTTACTGGGAAATACAGTGTTGCCTTCTCGTGTGCCTGACTCTACCGATCCATGGGAATGGGTGAAAGAATCTGGGTATCCCAATCAGCCCCCTCTTTTGCAAGATGATCAAGTTTTGCTTGTTCTCCGCTACCCACAAATATTCACATTGACAAAAAGAGCAATACGAGGAAGCTTGAAGAGTTTAAACCCGAAATCAAACCTTAAGTACTTTGATGAAGTTCACATTTCTTCCGGGTTGGGCACTTCCTCAAACTATGAATTTCTCAATGATAAGATTGTGTCCAAAGCCTGCAATCCATATCCATATGAAGATAGTTTGATGAGAGGTGGCTTTGATATATATAAAGGACTGGACTTCTGTTTAATTCTCGAGCGGTTTACCCATGGAGAAGCTATAACCATTGTGCCAAATTGGAGATGCAATGGTACTGACGATTTTTGTAGTAAGTTGGGTCCATTTATGTCAGATAAGGAGATTAAAGCCACAGATGGGGGCTTTAAGGATGTTAGACTTGTACTTCAGGATGTTCGGTGCGAGAAAGGAATTTCACGGGACAATGTTGACTTTTTGAGGGTTTCTGCGGTGTTTAGAGCTATTCCTCCATTTGAGAATCAGTTCAATGCTGCACAGAGGACTGGCTTAAATAACATGACTCTTTCTGCTGAGGGACTTTGGAGTCCTTCAAGTGGGCAGCTTTGCATGGTGGGCTGTCTTGGATTGGTTGATGCACAAGGAAATCGTTGCGATTCTCGGATCTGTTTGTATGTTCCTCTCTCGTTTTCCATAAAACAACGAAGCATATTTATGGGGACGATATCAAGCATTGACGATAAAAGTACCAGATCATTCTTCACTTTGTCATTTGAAAAGCTGGTGCGACCTGCAGAGCTGTGGGATCAATACACTGCTGCCAATCCGTATTACGGTTACTCAAAACTTGATTCAGCTGGTGTGGTCCTCGAGAAAAACGAGCCCTTCAACTTTGGAACTGTCATCAAGAAATCGTTGCTGAAATACCCCAAACTGGAAGACTCAGATGCGTTCCTAGTCAGTCTTTCTCTTCTGTCGGAAGATCTCACCCTTCAAATTGCTGCATTTCCTGATCCAATTCCTAATTCTCGTCCCCCTAGAACTGATCTCCAGATGGAGATTATCTCACTTGGTCCCATGTTTGGTCGCTACTGGTCTATGCAAAATGGTACAATCTCAGAGTTGACACCTTACCGCAGTAAAGCTGAATACACAGAAAAACAGCTTCTCCTGAATATATCGGCTCAACTCACACTTACTGGAATGCCCTACAGCAATTTCTCAAAGCTTTTCCTGGAGGGCCTTTATGATCAACATGTTGGAAAAATGTATTTAATTGGCTGCAGGGATGTTCGAGCCTCGTGGAAGATACTACATGACAGCATGGACCTTGAAGCTGGTTTGGATTGTTTAGTCGAAGTTGTTGTATCCTACCCGCCCACAACTGCCCGGTGGTTAGTCAGTCCAACGGCTAGGCTCTCGATATCTAGCCAAAGGAATGAAGACGACCCCCTCTATTTTAGTCCAATAAAGCTCCAAACTTTTCCACTTATGTATAGGAAACAACGGGAAGACATTCTCTCTCGCAGAGGTGTTGAGGGGATTCTCCGGATTCTGACTCTTTCACTGGCAATTGCTTGTATTTTGAGTCAACTGTTTTATATAAGAGACAATTTGGATTCTGTTCCTTTCATATCTCTTGTCATGCTAGGCGTTCAAGCTCTGGGGTATAGTCTTCCTCTTATCACAGGTGCAGAAGCGATTTTCAAAAGAATGGCTTCGGAGTCTTACGAAAACCCATCTTATGATCTTGAGAAGAACCAGTGGATCTATGTAATTGATTACACAGTGAAGCTCCTGGTACTAGTTTCATTTTCACTCACTCTAAGGCTTTGTCAGAAGGTGTGGAAATCCCGTATCAAATTACTCACTCGGGCCCCTCTTGAACCTCACCGCGTCCCAAGTGACAAACGGGTGCTTTTTGTAACCTTGAGCATACATGTGATTGGGTATATAATTGCTCTCATTATGCATTCTCTGAAGACCAGCCAGAGGCTGTTTCGGACAGAGCGATTTTTAGATTCTACAGGAAATTCGCAAATGCTACGGGAATGGGAAACTGAACTAGAGGAGTATTTGGGTCTTGTTCAGGATTTTTTCTTGCTTCCTCAAATTCTAGGCAACTTGATATGGCAGATCCATTGTAGACCTCTCGGAAAAATATATTTCATTGGGATAACAATGGTCAGAGTTCTCCCTCATGTTTATGATTATGTAAGATCTCCTATTCCCAATCCCTACTTCTCTGAGGATTACCAGTTTGTGAACCCACGTTTTGACTTCTACTCTAAGTTTGGGGACATTGCAATACCCGCCATAGCAATTTTTCTTGCAGTTACGGTGTATGCTCAGCAGAGGTGGAATTACGAGAAGCTCAGCCAAACTCTTACTATTGGGCAACGTAGGCTTCTACCTTTGGGTTCCAGAGTCTATGAAAGATTGCCTTCCATGTCATTTGAAGCGGAGCTCGTCTCTGGTGTCAATGACCATACTGAAGACATGAAGGACCGTGACGAATCTGTGGTAAACTAATACAGATTGATTGTAAACATAAATGCATAGTAGGCGCTGTTCTGGCGGTTTACGTTTAAATTCTTGAGATGTTGTTCCTTCAAAGAATGATTACAAGCATTTTTTTATCCTACATTTGCTGATTCATCGTACCTTGTTGTTCTGTTATGGAATATTGTTGTTGTCATTTTCCGTAGAAACTTTGTTGTTGTGTTCTCTGAAATAACACAAGTTTTATTTTGTCACAATTTGTATTTTATAGTGCCTTAACATTGGAGGATTTAAATATGCTGTCCAGTTTGTGATGAATATGATAACAATGATTTGATTTCCATGGATTGTCCAAATTTCTCATAGGATAACATGAAACATTCTATATTGCCAGAGAAAAAGCATGTGTGGAAGAGGATTGATGTTATTACGTTTTCGTAAATTTATTACTATAATTTATGATTTCTCCCTTCTTTTTTCTTCCTAGGAAATTTCTTACTTTTCTCAGGAAAAGGAAACAAGACAAAGAAGTGGAGAAACATTTTCTCCCATTGACATACGATTTTCGTTTTTCGTGAAAGGGAAGAAGTGTTGTACGAGGGTTGGCTTTATGCTATTGAGTGAGGTATGTTTTAAAATTTATTCAGAGTTTGAAACATGCTGGTGAGATTGCTTTAACTTTATTTTATTGTTTTTCTATTTAAAATTTCTTGAAAATATATTTCCAGTGATACATGGGAAACCACATAGATGGTTAAGAGTTCGGTGATATATTACATTCCTCAAAAGAAAATAACTGCTCGGTGCTCCAACCCTTGATATGCTGTATATGCCCTCGTTGCAACGGGCACACTTTCCTCATTATCCCTGCTGTTATTCATGCAATGTGTTTGTTAAAATGGCTATCTATATCGTTTTGGAAAAATGGGTTGGCTTCTGTGCTTTTTTTGCTGCCTTTTTACTTCTTTATTTCTGACCCGCCCTGTTTGGCCTCCTCCTCTCTCTCTCTCTCTCTCTCTCCTTTTTTTATTTTATTTTTTTCAGTAACGTGATACTACCACCAAATATATTTTGGGCAAAAGACTAACAAAGAATTTTGATACAGGAAGTTTAGTTGTCTCACTTGTACATTTGAGGTAATAAAAATGAAATAATTTATTAGGTAGGAATCTTCAGTTTCTCAAGTATATCTGCTGCTTCCAATAGTTTCTCTTATGCAAAGAAGGTTGGACTCATTTTGAGGTCAGTTTTGGTGGTCCAGTTTTGGACTTGTTTACAAGGTAAGATTCAACATCACAAAGCTTTCAACATATAGAAATCATACCCTTACCAAAGCAGTGGAGTGGAACCCTACGTGATGTAGTTAATTTTTCTTGTGAGATTTCATGTTACTTTACATAATTAATATATTACTTCAGCAAGTATTTGCATTAGGTATCATAGATTAGAAATAAGCTAAGGTTCCATGTCGGGGAAAGTTACTAAGAAACTGGTAAAATGGAGTGCCATTAGGACAAGCTCTCAGACACATTTGAGTGTGCACACACACAGTAATGCCTCATTGCTGAAGCACTTGATGCTTTCTCGTTTGAGTATATGATATGTGTGCTGATCTAACCATCTTATTCTTCCATTTGGTAGACCTTGAACAAACAACATCGTTGCACTGGTTGTGGTATATGCAAGTGTGAATCATTCCTCTTCTCATTTTTTAGCATCTCAATATGATCTGGTCGAAATTATCCTTAACAGAGAGTAATTCCCAACTCATGGAAGAAAAATATGAGAATAAATATAAACTTAACAAGGATGTCTAATTAACATTAGAATCGTTATGTGATGTCCATTTCCCTTCAATGCAAGACTATAAATTGGGAACAAATCCCTCAACTCGCATATTTTTTTATTTCTATGGCTTTTCTTTTATGTAGTTCTCTGTGCAATATTTTGCAGAGTTTGCATTATGTCTCGATAAATCTAAACTCACTTGCTTTTTTGCATAATTATGGGCTGAAAAATTCGATTGCAATATATGTGGCAAGTCATGATTTCCTTTAGTTCTTCCCTCTATTGATCATATAAGTGATTGGACAACTTGAATATTGTTATATTTTAATTTTCTTTTGCATAATATGTTGTTTGTATACCTTTCAGGACGTTGCAAATGCGTTCTTCTCAAGAATAGTCGTACCTGTTTGGAAGAAGCAATGTGCCATAATCGCCTATTTGTTTTGAGGTATGTGGCGTTATTCATGCTTGTTTTGGCTCTTCTTATGCTATGATTTTAGAAAGCTTTGCACTTATAAATACTTTGTTTGCATTTTCAATAGATAACAATTTCAAAATTAATTTAAATAGACCTCTCATTTAAAAATTAAAAAAAAAAATATATATATATACTTGCATTGTAATTGCAATTAGATATCCGCCCTCTATGCGCATAGGGGGAACTAATATATATAAATGAATTTATATTATAAATTCAAGTTTAGTAAGTCCTCGTTTGACAAGTGTTCTTTTTAGTTAAAAAGTCAAAAAATTACTAAAAAAATAAAAGCCAACCATCCATATCAAAAAGTCAAATATTCTATTTTCTCTATACTTTTTACACATCTTTTCATAAAAAGTCATTCTAAACATATTAGTTTTTTTTAAATCACATTTTAACTACAAATTTAAAAAGTTATTAAAAAAACTTGCTCCCAAACGAGATCAAAAAAGGATTAATTTTGAATTTTAATTCC